AAAAGGACATTTGGAACTTAAAATTATTAATTGGTCGCCTTTGTCGACCAAAAATCCTTCCAAGTAATATATTATTGAGAACGTTCATTTAATTTTCTCCTGCATTTTCTTGATAATGAATTATCGAACATTTTTCAAAACTTTTCGATAATTCGATTTTGAATAGAACATGTCAAAGTAAGTGTGTATTTATGTCGAATTTTATTCGATTGATAGATATTTTATTGAATATTTTATAAACTAAAAACAGTATCAAATAATATTGGGATACAGTAATATTTATAGTAGCAAATTTTAGTATAAACTTATCTTTAGTCATAGCTTTATGACAAAACTTATTCACGAGGAAGAAAGTTTTATTTATTACGACTCCCTGACAGTTACTGATTATTAGACAGTTTGTGTTATGGATAGTGTACTTAATTACAAACATAATGTATATTACATGAAAATTAGTTAAGTGACCGTTATTGATAACACAACTTTCTTAGGAAATGTCAAAATTTTAGTGTGTTACACTGTCAGGTTTTCTAGAACGTTGTTGCTCAATATTTGCTTATTGTAACTTGTTCTAACTTTATGATTTGGTAATTTCATTGATGTTTCATTAATCGACATGAGCTAATCAATCATGAAAAATTTAACCATGAATGATAAAAATAAAAAATGAAAACTAAGAAATGCACCCAAGGTAATATGTGTACAAACATAACGATATTGCCCCTCGCAATCTTTAATATATGTAAAACATGTCGCATTATACTGTAGGATATGTGAATTACATTTCTACACTTTATTTAAACGCAAAATAGATTTAAGAAAAAATGAAATAAAAATCGAGTTTAAAAAAGGCCGAATTTCCACGTAACCCATTACACATTTTATTGCTATAAAGGGAACAGAAGGTTATCGCAACCATCATAACCCATTTTTGTTATTGCCAAAGAGTTTTCTTTATTTTTTTTTATTACACTTCATTTTCATTCTCTCGCCTTGTTGTTTCAGTTTTTTGCTGTGCTTCTTTAGAATTACGATGTCATAATAATATTTAACGTTTATGATGCGATTTGTCGCAGCAATAATGAAAACAAAGTCACAGCACGTCGTCTGCATTGTCTTTTCTTTCGCGACTTTGGATCTAACTCTTACCCAATAATACCGAGTATCATCTAAAAGATTACTATTATTGTGCTTTTATTTTTCCCAAAATATAAACGGGTTGTTCCTCTTGCTGTCAACAAAATTCGAAAACGTGAGAACACCCTATTGACTGACGGCTGTACGAAAATCACACTCTCACGCCAATTGTTGTGTGTCCATAACATCTTGAACTAAACAAAAGTTTTATAACGGAAGCGACATACTATGGAGATCTTAAAGGAATTGTACTGTGCAATGTTCATATAATATGTAACAATATTATAACGTCTCTTAGATGGACGGTAAGAGTATTCCTACCCTCCGGAAAGTATTCACGGCGCGGAGCGTATAAAGAATACACAAGCACATGTTCGAGTTCCCACACAAAAGTGTTACCATAAAAGAGTAAACGAAGGGTAAGCCAAAATTGCGAGCTCCTCTAAACGTGTCTTAACTTATAAACGCGGATTTCGTTCAAGGGCGTCGCGTCGGTTGGTTGCACAAATTGTGGCCTAAGGATAGGATAAAGAAAAAAAACAGCATAACAGTGGCTGGAGAAAGTGGAAGTGAGTATATCGAGTTAAATAATTTACTTAAAGGGAGTTACGGGTAATTGAGGGCTCGAAGAAAATGACTGCGTGCGTCAAGATGGCAATATTAACAATATTGCCGTTTTTTGAGAAGCTTTTAGGAGCACTGCAGAATTTCTATGAAACAGCAAGTAAGGCTCATGTTAGTAGGCACGTGTTCATGAAGAAGTAAATACGAAAAAAAGGGGAAAAAATGTACTTATAAACAACTCCCTGATGAATAGTACCGATGGAAAATAGCCTCTGGCAGGATTAGGGTGCGTACGATTAATGATATAGCCCCCAGTGTTTAATAGATTCAAGGGTCGGGCTAAAAATGTATAAATTATATTGTAAAGTTTATGTGTGTGTGTTTTAACCGTTCTTAGTATAAAAAATTATAAAGAGGTATACGATTAAAAAAATAAACGACATTATTAAATAAGGTTAAATCAATTAAAGAAATTTTCTAATGAGCAACTTTGAAATTGTATTTTATAAATTTAACTATATTTTTACATAATTCAATATAGAATTCATAAAAAATTCCGACTATTTAAATATAGTGTGTATACAAAATGATCCACTAATTATGTCTCATATATCATATTTTAATATTATCGTCAAAAGTACAATTTTTTTCTTTTCAGAAGTTATGAATACCCTATTCAATTTAATTAATATGAAAAAATATATTTCTTTCTCTTTAAAATTACATTACCTTAATTTTTTTTAATTAAAGCATACATGTTTAACAAAATAAATAAGAAAATTATCGAAATTAGAAATAACTGGTCGATAACAACATTCGAGTCATTATTTTAAAATATTTAAGTATGAGAAATAATATTTGAAGAGCAGATCTGTTTATATTTATCTCTAAGCATTTCTGTTTTGCTCATCCCCTTCTGACTTTATGTAAAAATACTTAGATATTTTAAAATAATGACTTGAAAAATGTAATCGACCAGTCATTTTATAAGTTTTATAATTTTCTTATTTAATTAGCTAAACATGTATGCTTCCATTTATAAAAATAAAGTTGATACAATTTTAAAGTGAACAAGAAGGTATTCAACCTTATTTTTTTATGTTGAATAAAATAGGTAGGATACAATAACTTCTGAAAAGAAAAAATTACATTTTTGAAGATAATGTGCGAGACATACTTAGCAGAATACCTTTTATTTGTCTTTGAATAAAAAAAGCTTTATTTTATATGAATATTCCACTAAGTAAAGTCAATAATTTTGAGGCATTTACCTTTCCTATTTATCAACATAGTTTTCATTTTCCATAATTTATATTGAATATTACACATGATATTCGTGTTAACATATTAGCATAGAATATTTTATAGTACTCCTATTGGTCCATCGGAATGTAAATAATTCTCTACATTTATAGACACAACTATCAATCCTCATTTTAACGAACGATAAGGAATGAATAGCATAAGCTTATTCGAGTGTAAAAAGTTCTTTATGGCTGATATGTGCGTTTAATATTAATAAAATATCTATGATGCTAAATATGACTACAACCACAACGAAAAATGTCTTTATTTTCAGAATTTCAATTTTTGTTTTATTCCATAAACATTAATCAAAATTTTGCACGGTAAATTTTATGTTTCCACTTTCTACCCAAATCTCTTTATTCTAACTTAAAGCTTTAAATATGTTGGCTATGTATTTGTTTCAAATGAGTAATAAATTTTTTAATTGTAAATTTTCTAATATCCAATTAATAATTTCGCTTTGAAATCAATACTAATTCTATAATAAAACCTAAGTTATAAAATTATCTTTTTGGTATATAAAATTTATATAATCCAGATTTATCTAAGGCCAATGTAAAAAAAAAACTATATTCGACAAAAATGCACAAAAAGTAAAGACAAGTATCCCATTCTTTTTAAGTTTATCTAGTCAAATATTTTTAAAAAATTAGATAAAATTTTTGTATCTAAATGAGTACTTGTACTCAATTTTTCATTGGCGCATCGAAATTATTTGTAAAAAAAGACTAAAAACTAGCTATTTTGAAATTTAAAAAAAATAAAAAAAAAATTATTATTATTGATAAATAGTAAAAAATTACTTTAATGTAGTCTAAAACTGCAAAAATTATTTGAAAAAAAAAAAATTCAATAAATGAATAATGGGATAAAAAATTATGAGTGTTGTTAGNTGAAAAAAAAAATTCAATAAATGAATAATGGGATAAAAAATTATGAGTATTGTTAGTTAGATCTGAGATACTCTGTTTATAAGAAATATAGCTTTACAAAAATAAACTTATTGATTTTATCTTAGTGTAATCTGAGAATAATATTTACTATTTTTGTGAACATTACACGTGCTGAAATCGAGTACTTTGCATTAGATTCAAATTACATGATGGAACATTAACTATAAGTCCAGTGTTTGGGGGAAATAAAGTTTTGTGAAAAGGGTCCATTTCTCCGCATTTAAAGTGTCGCAGCAGTGATTTACATTAAATCTTATTAAAAAAATCTATAAACGTATTACAGTACCCTTAAATGTAAACTATAACATTGTAAATGCACTCAAAGCTCATGCAACAACTCTAAACGAAAATCGATTTGCAATCAAGTGTAATAATATTGAAAATGTAATGTGGTTATGTTCAACGCCATGCACCAATGGTATAATATTTTATATTATATAATTATAACAATACAAGATAATATTTTGAATAATGTTTAAGTATACAAGTTAACATAGTGAAATAAAGTTTTTGTATTTTAGTAAATTAATAGTTTATATTTTAAATTAAAAGTAATCTTTCTTCATTTAATATTAATCTATATTTCATTGTTTTGAATAATTATAATCAAATATGATTAAACTGTACATCAAATAAAAAGCTTAATGTATTATTTGATCTCTTTCAAAGATTTCCAACAAAAGTAAAAAACGTTTAAAAATTATTTATGTTATAGAAAAATAACCTAACACAATTAAGCATTTATTAAATACCAAGATAAGGTTAATAACATAACTAAAACTCGGACATATAGATTACTGGAATCATAATTGTATTCTTTAAATAAACTTTAAATTTAAACTCAAAATTAAATGTTAATAAGCGTTACTACAACGTTAGCAGTTATTTAAACTCAAGTTAACATAAGAATATTTACGAAGTCTGCATTTGATAAAATATATTTTACTAATAATAATTATATATTTTACTGCTAATTTAAAATTATCAATATTGTGATGACACTTCTTCCAATTATAAGTTTTCTGATATTGTTACAACATATGAAAAAACAATAAAATATAATTTACATAAAGTTAGGCATATTTAATAAATCTAGTAGTAGTAGTAGTAGTAGTAGTAGTAGTAGTAGTATTGTAAAGTGTTGGAACTTTCAATATTTTGATTAACCGTTGTAATGAAATAAGATAGGTATAATTAATTTTTGAAGAGCAAAAATGACAACAAAATGAAAACTGTTTTAATCATTAAATATAAAAACATTTTTCAAAAATTAATTTTTGCACTGATTTAAAATAAAATTTCTATAAACTTTAGTTTTTAAAATAATAATTTATTACTAAAAAATGAATAATTTTCCAGAAAAAAATTGTTTAAATAAATAAATGTTATAATATAAATATCACGTTTATACTAATTTTTGTCCATTGAAATTGATTTTTACAAACATGTATAAAAAATAAGTTGAAATTCTTACAATAACATTTTTTTAAGTTCAACTTTGAAGTTTGAATTGATATCATTAAAAAATGAATTTTGGTATAATTTGTTATTGTTTAAATTGAAATTTGGCTAAGAGCTTGTAAAATTACTATTAACAATAACATAGGTGAAAAGTTCAACATTTCGTTCAATTTCCTAGTATATCTGTCGTAATAAAAAAGTTTTATCAAAGTTTGACTTTGTAAATGTTCTGATTATAACTTGAGTAAAAATAAATGCTGTAGTAATAACGTCTACAAGCGTTTAAATTTTAAAGTTTTAAAAGAATTTCAATAAAGTTACAGTAATCGATATGTCCGAGTTTTAGTTATGTTATTAACCTTATCTTGATATTTAATATATATGTAATTGTACTAAACTTATTTTCTATTAATTAAATAATTTTAAAATGTTTTTTTTCTTTTGTAGCAAATCTTTGAAAGAGTTCAAATATAACATTAAGCATTTTTCTTGGAGTAAAGTTGCATCATATTTTATTATAATTACTTAAAACAATATAAATACTGATACATACATATAATCCTTAGGACAGTCAAATATTAAATAACTGAACCACAATAAGGATTTATAAATAGTTATTTATATATACCAATAACACTTTTTCCTTCTTAACTTTTAAAAGTGTTGCGCCTTTTAGATATAACTTTGAGTTCAATCACATCGAATCGTTTCATAATATAATGTATTTATATATTCAAAAGTTTTTAAAATATTTCATAATAGTGAATACATAAATAAACGTATGTTTTGTTTTACACATAACCGTGTATATAGTAAATCAATTGCAGGCTAGAATAATTAAATAAAGTAACTAGGGCTTATATTTAAAACAAATAAAAATATTTTTAACTAAGGTGTGCTGTTGAAATTTCTGTAGGCAATATCTACCTATGCGCATAGAGCAAAGAATCTCCTTCATCTCTTTCTCATCTTTCAGCAAGTATGAAATACTTAATTGACTGTTTATTTTGAGAAAAATATATTTGTCACTAGTGGAATTTTCATAAACATTCATCGATTTACCTATTAGATAAACATCACTATTTTATATAAGTATATAAAACAGCTTAATGATTATTTTAATGAAATTAACGAAATAAATGTAAAATTTATGATTATTTTTAAATGATTTAAACTATAGTTTTATTTTTTATTCTAGTTATTGTAATGACGTTAATAGATTTCTTTAATGACACAAACTAATTTGTGTGATTCTCAAAGAATGAGCGGAATGAGTCAATATGTATGTTTTTAAAAGTTTTAATGGTATCATGTAATAAAGATCATTGTGAATAAAAGAAATTTTAAATGTAACTTTTGAGGTATTTATAAAACAAAAAGAGTATTAGTAAAGTAATCAAATGACATAAAAGTATTTTATTTAGTTACATTTTAAACTTATCATATTTTAATGCTGTGTTTTTGCACTAATATTATATTTTATAGTACACAATTATATTTATAAATACACATTCGTTTGAATTCAAAATAGTTTCATACATTAAAAAATATCAGCATAATTTCATAATTTATAATTCCAACAATTTCACTGTTAAATTTTCAAAATTACAATAAAATAACAATGAAAAAAAAAAATTACCTAATAATTCTTATTAGTTTTTAAAGTGTTGATTACAAAATAAAATAGTTTAAATTTATTTTTAAGTAAAATCTTTAGTATGAAATATTTGACCAATAATAATTATTTTATAAATGTTCAAACTCTCTGTAACTTAGCATATATAAATGAAGAAAGTTGTTATCCCAGCCACCAACTATGTTTACAAGCTGAATATATTATTTGAAAAGCTTGAGGATTTATCCATGTTTGCAGTTGATTGCTGACGTTTCGGACTCATTGCAGAGTCTATCTTCAGAGCGATAGTTACTGCTCGGTGGATGAAACTATACTGGCGGCTTATCTTTTTATCAGTCTGTTTTTATACGTTGGTTGTTTATCATATCAGTTGTTTATCATATCTGTTTATGACTTATGTTGTTTACGGTATCTTGTTTTTGCTGATGTTTTTGTTGACGACTTTGTTTTTGTTGTTTTTGACATTCTTGGCATTTTGGTCTTCCTTTTCTGCACCGACAGTTTTCCATTACGTTGATAGTAACTTTTTCTTGTACTGTTTTCAGTGTTGTTAGTTGATTTTCTTTTTGTCTGGTGTATTATGGGTAACCAAGTTTTGCTTATTGTCCATCCGTCTTCTCTGTTAAAATTCTCTGGACATTTTTCGATTTCTATTGCCTCTTTGTACATTCCTTTGCCAAAATGAGTTTCTTTGTTTAGTATTTTTACTTTATTATCGCAGTATAGTTTTAGTCACCGAGTAGTAACTATCGCTCCGAAGATGGACTCTGCAATGAGTCCAAAACGTCAGCAATCAACTGCAAACATGAATAAATTCTCAAGCTTTTCAAAGTATGACAATAATATGACAATTCATGAAAGTTTCAACACATTCATAACAAGATTATACGAAGAGGACATGAAGAAAACTTGTAGACGTTGGGACAATTTATCCCAGAAAAAGGCTAAACTTGTATCAGATCTGACTTTTATGAAGAGGTGCACAAGAGGGACAAAGGTATAACACCACAATGCGTCGCCATCAAGATAAGCTACCAGAAATGCAAACACCCGAAGTATATGAAATACCGTCCAGAAAATTTTAACAGAGAAGACGGATGGAAAATAAGCAAAACTTGGTTACCCATAATACACCAGACAAAAAGAAAATCAACTATCAACACTGAAAACAGTTCAATACAAGAAAAAGTTACTATCAACGTAATGGAAAACTGTCGGTGCAGAAAAGGATGTCAAAAACAACAAAAACAAAGTCGTCAACAAAAACATCAGCAAAAACAAGATACCGTAAACAACATAAGTCATAAACAGATATGATAAACAACTGATATGATAAACAACCAACGTATAAAAACAGACTGATAAAGAGATAAGCCGCCAGTATAGTTTCATCCACCGAGCAGTAACTATCGCTCTGAAGATAGACTCTGCAATGAGTCCGAAACGTCAGCAATCAACTGCAAACATGGATAAATCCTCAAGCTTTTCAAATAATATGACAATCCATGAAAGTGTCAACACATTCATAAGCTGAATATATCTTAGAAAATTGCCTTCGATTTTTCTGTAAACGTTACGTATGAAATCATTAACACATAACTTGTTAACAATGATAGGAACTTTTTTATGATTCTCAAAAGGGATCATATAAAATAAATCGATATTGATTCGATCGATTTATGTAAATTTTACGAAAAAAAATTGGTACTGTTGAAATACAAGCAATAATTTATGTGGAAAACTTATTACATACATTTGTTAGAAAAACTTCTAGTGACATACGAGGAACTCATTAAGAGTACTATACGACATTGTATAGTGAAAAAATTTATTATTACGATATTGAAATTGATATTTCTGGACTTTAAAATGATGTTATAGAAAGGAAAACATTTACTAGAAAATCCTGCGAGATAGTATCAGATTCCATTGGTCGTGAAAAAGTTAGATGATATTTGAGAAAATATCAACAATAGAATATCCTCCTAGCACAGGAAAATTTTTATGTTGTGTAATCATAGGTACGTGAAATCCTTACAAATTCTTAAAAAAAACTCGACCGATAAGTCAATTAACTTACTAAATACGGAAAAGATATTCAAAAAACCGAAATGATTTTGGTTTTTGTTCAAAAATAATGTGTATTTTGGCATAATACAGATCAACACACATGCATCTTTATAAATGCATAAATTTAATTTATACATTCGATCGTATCAATTTAAACCAAAATAATGTCCGATATTTAAGAGAAAGAAATAATAAAATTATGTATAGTGTAATATATTACACTTTTATACTTAGGCAAGAGGATGAGTGCGCCTGGAAAATGACTAGTAATAAAATAACTTGTTAGTCCCATGTCTTACATTCGGCTATCCCTATAAAATGTTAATAACTTCCAAAATATTGGTCCAAAAGTTGTTATGAAACAGTTTTTTTTTTTTTTTTTTACATAATTCTAATATGCTGGTGACGGATTAATGTACCTTAGAGATATTTGTATAATTAATAAAAAACATTGTGATAATCATCACGGTTCTAATGAATGACATATAAAGATATATTACTCTGACATATCTTGAAATAAAATTTATTTATGATTTTTTCTTTGGTAAATATGGTATTGTTTATGTATGGTATTGGCTGATTTTTTCTTTAAATTCTATCTCGGAAAACATTTTACAGAAAAATCACCATTTCCCCCATATCTTGACAGGTGATTTTAAGACGACATATGGGGCAGTAACCTGTGATGGATATCCATTTGGGGTTCGGGCGTCATTTTATGGCTATTTACCTCTACCACCAAACCAACATTTCATTAATAACATTAATAAAATATAAAAGAAGCAGACGATTGTAAACTTTGTTTCTATAAACTTATTGTAACATCTTGGACAGTATAAAAAATATTCTATAATTAACTAATTTTTCTTAATTGTACGTATTGAAAACTGAAATCAATTAACAATTTAATTAAACTTGAAAAAATGTTTAATAGCTCATTTATTTGAAAATGTATAAAAAACATGTACAAGAAAAAATAATTCAGTCTGTTTTGCTAGTCTTCAGTTGTTTCATAATTAATGTCGCTTTATTGCGTGTAGTGGGATCCTTTGAAGAGACCAAGTATTTTACACTCGAACGACAGCAACTCTAAAGGTAATTATTATTATTTTTTTTTATTTTAGTGGTTGATTTTTATGTTTAATCAAATAAAAACACGTTTTGGGCGTTCATGATTCCATAAATGTTTGTACTCTTAGTATAATTTTAATGAAGTAATTGCATAGAAGTTATAAATAATCATACAGAAAGATCTGATATGCTAGTCAAACATTGCAAGAGTGTCTAAAGAAAAATAAAATAGTTCATACATTATCTGTAATCTAAGTAAATAAAAAAATGCTGAATTTATTATTTTGTTTAATATTTAAGTTGAATTATGAACTTATATATTACACAAAATATAATACTATTGTATATATTTTTTACTTTCAAAATAGTATACTTCTATAATTATATTTCATTGATATTAGTCATATTATTATGTAATAATACGTTACTATCCAAAAATATCTCCAGTAATTTTGTAACAGACATTTTTTTCCAAAAAATATTTTTAATTGATCAATTTTAGCGACAACTTCAATTTTGTGCCTGTAAAGTTGTATTTAAAAAAATGTTTAAACCATATATATTTTAATAAATAATTATTTATTATTTTTATTAAAACTATTCATTAAATAACTGTCTAAAAAAATATAATGTACCAAAATATACATACTTAATTGAAAAAAGTATATCTATATCATTCAACATTTAAAGTGCGCACATCAAATACGAATTTTAACAAAATATATGCATGTACTTTATTGAAATTTAAATTTATGAACAAAAATTGGAAACATATAAGATATTGTAACCAAAAAAGTATTCGATATTAAACAGCGCCTGATCAAATGTAAAAATGAAAATTTGCTGTTATCAGCCATAAAAAGAAAAAAACCAGAGCAGCATGATTTTATTTACAACCGTATATAGTCAGTCAGACCACGTTTGGATGTTTGTAATGACTATCGTTGCGGAAGAAAATACAAATCAAACAAACAGCCGTTGGAAGACTAAATTCGTGGTGCACTGTGTTCAATCAATTCAAAATATAAAACGTCAAAGGCTGAGCGAATATTGAAAATTTTCCTTTAGCTTTTATTTGCAATTCTAGGTTTCAAGAGAAAAAAAATTGGTAATATGAATTTAATGAATTCAAGATATTTACTGACAGGAATGGGCAAAATTGATTACAGAAGCAACATTGGCCCTAGCAAATGGTGTATTCAAAAACTAAGTAAAACATCTAAATATTACAACATGCGTTATTTTAACGTGTTTGTGAACTTTCAAATTACTCTTTTAATCTTCAATAAATTACAAATAGAATTTTCATACATTATTTATTAATTTTTTTAATATATGCAGATAAAATTAAAAACGGTTTACTAAAAACTATTTATAGGCTTTTGTAAATTTACGGACTTGTATCAGATGAATTAAACTTGTTATATATAATTGGAGAGTTTAGCAGATATAATTAAAAAGCTCTCCGACATCAGAATTACATTTATTAAAGTGGATGAAATAATTTGCATAATATAAATTAATTTCGCTTAAATATTTTAATGAATTAAAACGTTCACTGAAATGAATACTGTTGAAAATTGATTTTTGTAAAAATAGTTTAAAAAAATATTTTGTATATAAATTCAACAACTAATACTTAGCTATCTTAAATATTCTGATATCAAGTAGTCGCAAGTTTTCTTTACATTTTTTTTTAATTGGGTGCTGCATAAAAAGTATTATTTAATTTGAAAATTATTTTACTCGTTTTATATATTTAAAGATTAATTATAAAAAATATATTCGTTAATAAAGTCAGAGTGATGTATTCAGAAAAAAAAAACTTTGTTCTATGTATTCATTTAGAAGTAAAATAGAAAATCAGATGGAAAATTTTCATTTGGATTAATATCAATTTCGAAGCAACAAATTAAATAACAACATTAAGTCTAGAAACTTTAGTAGAAATATCAAACAAATGAACTTTAATCTTAAATTTGAAAGAGACGTGTACATAAATTTAAATCACACAGCACACTTCGCATATTCTATTCAATAACAATTAACTAGAGTGTTTTAATATTAAACATGCACGATCAGTGCAACTTGTTTCGGAAAAGGAAATTACGTGACAGAAGTTACAAATCAAATAATGCGACNTGTTTCGGAAAAGGGAATTACGTGACAGAAGTTACAAATCAAATAATGCGACTGTGCACATCATTTTTGAAATGAAAAAAAATGATTTCGACGGTCTTTGATTCAGCAAACTTTTATTCGTCCATTTCAACGTCATATGAAATAATATCGTTGTCACTATCTCAACATGTTTTGATATTTTCAATGTATTTTTTATATTGAGTAATTTTATTTTGTTTAGTAAACAAGCATATATTGAAAATTTAAATTTATTCAAACTCTAAGGTGACACAAAGTTGTATAATTTTACTTTATTTTTTATAAAGTAAATATACATCCTCTCATATTGACGTAAACATTTGCAAGTGATCTATCTATTTAAAACTATTAAACATTAAAAACTCATC